CCGCTTTAATCGCTTTCTCAACCGAATCCCATCCAAACCGGTCAACATAATCTTGAACCGATTTTCTAGCATCAAGACTCATCATTTGTAAAACTCTTCTCTGTTCATCTGTATAATTAGTTCCTCCTCCAACATTCATTCCAATTTTAACGTATGTTCTCACATAATTTGAGTATATGTAAGCTGCACCACTGAACATTGGTAACACCAACCACATACAAAACAAAAGTTTTAAGTATGGCCAAAATGGTAACCTACAAATTGCAAAAAAGAATTAATTTTTTTAGTCTTTAAGACATAAGTTTATAATCCGAATTCATAACATATTTAATGGGAGTATTATTACCAGACAAGGATTCTCCAAACGGATAGCTCGAAGATTGTCATAAAAGAGTAAATAATCCAATATGTTAGCCATTGTTGATCATCTAACATTGTTGGACTCTCTATTGCTCGTAACGATGCATACCTAATCATTCATTTTGGTTACTTGATTCATTTCGTTATTACATAAACGCAACATTTAAAATTCGTTTTCACTTACAATGGATAGAGAAGCATAACTCCAGGTCTGCATGCACCAAAGAATTTGAAGATGTTAAAAGTTTTGAAAAATCTTGAGTTATGAGACAAAATTTGGATACAAAACTTACCCAATTAGAGCATCAAAACGTTTTGCAAGTACAATAATGACGCCCATTTTTTAGTTTTCTTTCTTATTGAACTGAAACTATCTTCTTGTTTATATCTCTTTGAACAAACGTCTTAAGCACTATGTCTATGGATATATACACAAAATCTTGAATTTTTCTGAAGCAAGAATCTTTGTGTGATTTAACGTCACAAGACAGGTAAAGAATCTCCAACCCGTTGATACGTTTCATGAACCTGTTACTTCTATGTACTTAAAAAGAAAATAATTCAAAGTAATTGTGGGGAAAATTCATATGAAGGGAAATCCAAAGTCTTGGGTTTAGTATAACTCTCTACGAATTATATTTTGGAATATTCTTTTTTTATAAACAAGATTCTTTTCTTTTTTCACAAGAGTTACGTTAGCCATTAAGAACTTATGCATTAATTAATTAATGAAATTGGACGTATTACACAATCTGATTATGATCTTTGGTTTACGAATTTGTAAAATTTGGGTAATTCACTTGTCCTTTAGTATAGAGTCTTTATATAATCTATCTTTCTTACTCATTTACATAATAATTTCTTGTTTTCATGAGATTAAAGTTCATTAGTGATCATTTTTTTATAAGGATTTAATGGTTTTTGTCACTGAGCTAGTAAAAGTAATCTTTATATATTGTATCTTTCTTACACAGATTTATACTTACTTTTTTTCATTAGTCTTCTATTTGATAAAGATTTTATACTTACTTTTTTTATTAGTCTTCTACTTGATAAATATTTTTTGTCACTGAGCTAGTAAATAAAAAGATAACCCAATATGAAATTACATTGTTTCACGCTAACTCTCCATGACAGAGAATATTTCAAATTTCAAAACCTATTAAGAAAATATACCATGAAAGTCAATCAAAGCCCTACCAACTCACAAATTCATTCTTGACATGATTTTTCACAATGTAAAGCTTAATTTGACATGAAATGTCTATGTAGATGTTGTTGCTCATGAAAATAAAATGAATATAGAAATAAGTAATAAGTACAAGGAAAATGATGGAGTATGGGCAAAAACTCAAAAGAGTTTCTTTTCGTAACTAAAATTAATTAAATGCAAATCTATGAAAGGGTTTATGGATAACGACTACACATTTGATTAGTAATTCTCCGTGGGCTCTCTGCTCTCTTTTTTCTTGATTAGTTTCATCTTCCCTAATTATATTGTCGCCTATATAATTTAGTTTCTTGCTTAAATTATATATACATGATGTATTTTGATAAAATACATAATATCTTTTATATTCAAGATGATGTTGGACTAACCTAATGTCCAATAATAAGACTCGAACATAAGAGTTTAGAAATCCCTTCTATGGTAGAGTTCGAATCCTTCCAAAGCGATTTTAATAACTTTTTTTTTTATCATTTGTAAATGTTTTTAATGGCAAAAAACCCAAATTTTGATGGTTTCCAGAGATTAGTTTGGATTTCGGCATGGGATTCCTCCGATTAATC